TCAGTGCTCAGTCTACCCTGATCAAAATGAAAAAGAGATATATCAATTTATATGCTCAAATGCTTATTCAAACCAATCCCAAGCACTTATTTTACAATAAAAACTCACAGCAACTCTAAATTAAATCAGAGGAAAATTAACTTGCTCTGTGATTTGTGAAAACCACCTTTCTTAAAATGACGGGGACCGCAATGCCAGTAGCTACGAGAGACTTCACAAAATCATGCTTTAGCAGAAGGGATAGGTCTAACCAATTTTTAAAAAAACAATTGTGTGTTTTTATTAGGGGTTTCTCAGCTGCACTAGAATCTTAACAATGAAGCAAATCATCTAATTTTTGTCTTCTGACATTTCAGAAACCACCTTGAAGCCAGACTTGCCTCTTATTCTCTCATCTCAAAACATTTATAACAGGAGCAAGCAAGAATCAGATTATTGACACTAATTTGGACTCGGCTTTCAGCATTAGAAGCTTAAGCTCCTCCATCTCAAAAACTGTAAGGACAACTGAAATTGGATTACTTTGCAGGTGAATGGCTTTTCGTTTGCTGTCTGAGTAAGGCAGAATGAAGAACAAACCAACAGACAAAGATCTAGTCCTCAGGGAGGATGGGCTTGTACCACTTTAGATAGGGAGGCTCCCAAATTTGCATACTCCTTCAAACAAACAAAATTATCCACACATAGGAAAAATAGGCTGGCAGGAAGAAGAGTGGACTGAACCCCTTCTTCTCTGCTAGCTAGTTTTCTGAATGGTGGAAGAACATTCAGCTGTCTGAGCAACCCTCCTTTCACCCTCTATAGTCTGAAGTGGTACTGTCAATATGCACCTTAAGAGAACTAGGTCAAAAGGTAATGGAGAGGATTACACGACCTTATTGTTCTAACTTACACCTTTAAGCATCACACACTGCAATACTCTGCCTTGTCACGCATGCAGAAAGCCCACTGCTTTCACTGGGGCATCACCATATATATAACTGAAGACAAGAGTAACACAACAAGTGGAAAAAAGCAAGTAGAAAAGCACGGGCTGTGCCATACATTGGAAAGCAAGCTACCATTTTTCTTCTGCTGCATTCGAAGGTCCCATGAATTACCTGTCCCATACCTGTTCAGATATGGGGCACAGCTCCAGTACTAACACAGTATCCCTGTCCAACAGAAATTCACACCACCAGAAATGCACTGATCTACTATTTGGCAAAATGCAAGCTCAACCACCCCATTGATACTTGTCAAAATGGTCTTTACTGGGAATAAAATGATTTAAATCATTCATGCTTCGCGGCATCTGACACAGCTTGTGTACCTGTATGTTTCTGGAAAACATTTCTATAGATTATGAAGAAATATCCTGCAATCAGATGGTCACTGGTGTTCTTACATTCCCATCAACAAAACTATGAATAACTTGGAAAGCATTATAAACATCTCAACAGGTTCCACATTAATAGGGGTGTTAAGCAAAGTTTTGCTGAGATGTGTCAAGTAATGGTTATAAAACAGGCAAGCTTGAAGTTAAAATGCATGAAACTGATTGCTATCAGGTAATCAATGGGTTACAAAAGCTGAACCCGTGGGTCACTGTAACAAAAGAAAAAATGGGTAGTAACAATAGCTTTAGAAGATTGAAAGTTCTTAACATCCATGACAATTGTGGGGAGGAAGTTAAGAGATGGACGATCAATATCTCAACATTCTTCACTTACCAATGCAAGTGCGGCTGTCATTGCTGCTGATTATGTATCCTGCAGGACAATAGCATGTTCCTCCAGAAGGGGAAGAGTGACAGCGGTACTGGCAGCTCAACGCCGCACAGCGAGATATGTCTGCCAAAAACAAAGTCATTTTGAATATCGCCCTTAAGACACAGTATGAGCAGCTTGGTTCTGCAGACTGAATCGTCAGGTATTTTGTCACACACACACACAAACACACACACAATATCTGTTTCAGCAAACAGGGAACAAATGGGGAACCTTAACTATAAGCCAATGTGTGCACAATGCAAAGACATCACTTGGGAAATGCAGTCATTTTGCACCATGAGCTCATCCAACAGCTATGTTCACAGGCCCTGTCAAACACATAACTACTAGTGTGCAATTCAAGCTTAGGAATCGCACCCCAGTAGTTATGTGTTGGATGATTCCAGGTAAGCATTCATCTTAGGGGACTGCCACTGATCTCTGTAGACAAATCATACTTAAAATTACTGAGCCAACTTTTATGTAGAAGAAGCATTGCAAAATATCAGAAAGGGTGTCCCAGACTTTGTGAATGCAAGTTAAACGAAGTCTTGCTCCCTTTTCTTCTTTCCAATACTAGGTTCTCAGAGATGAACCATAGTTGCCTAGATGGCAAGACTGATCCTTCCATACACTTTTGCATGTGCTATTTACTCACTGCAGTGTCTGCCTGCAGTTATGTTTGTTTCATCTTCTCTGCCTGGGCAGTCTGGAGTCCCATCGCAGACTTTGCCAATTGGAATACACTGTCCTGACAGAGGGCAGGCCCATTCACCAGGGTAGCATTCTCGATGCCCGCTCTCTAAGGAACAGAAGAAAGAATCATTACACAATATCAAATAGTATTTCAGGTTTGAAGAAGCATTTGTTATTTTGAGGGGTGGGGTTGTCATTAGCTATCTGAGCTGTAGTATAACTAGAAAAGCCTCCATCAGCCAATCTTTTACTTCTTTCTGCCTCTCTCTTTCAGCTTCATGGTACTTAAGAAAACAAACTTTTCTATTATTTCCAGAGACCAGTTCACACATTATGCAGAAATGAACCTTGGTTTGCCAACAAGGCAATGGCTGCCTCCAATCACAGCTCCTTGACATGCCCGCTTGTAAGATATTCCATGTTTGCAAATCGTTATCACTCATAATCACTCAGATATGTATGTTGAAATGTAAACTTAAAACGCTCTAACTGCAAATCTAACAAATCAAATGGATGAAGTGGCTTCTGTTTCTTCAGGGGGGGAAACAGTATGGCAGAATACAGGCTGAATTTTAAAAAGACTGAGAATGTGTGTGTAATGGTGGAACTCTTACTGATTTCAGAAACATCTGTCAAGTTGAACAAGGAATAAGTAACTGGGATGGTATATAGGGCCTCATGTCTTTCTGCTTTAGGACTTCTGCTTTATGGTCACACTATTTTGACAAATATGTCTTGGATTCCACATACATATCTTTCTAACTAGGAATTAGACCTTTCTGGCATGTATTATGCGTTTTGTGGCAGATATATTTTTTTAAGGATCTTGTCCTTTAAGTGTATATTATGATTTCATCACTTACCACATTGTCCCACTAACGCACCCTGAGTTTAAACAAAACCTCTGATATTACATCTTGAGTGCCAAAGTGCAGTTGAGGATTGATACATCATAGTCTAATGTTCTGGACTGAACTTGGTAACAAAAGCTACATACTGCTTTAAAAATGGACATTGTAAAAGGGGGTGCAAAAATATGGCAAGTTATCTTCTACCTACATTCATATAAATCATCACCCAGAAGGGGCAGGAAAGTCAAATTTCCAAATGTCACTACTTTTGAAGCCAGTTTATTTCATTGCTTACCGCATCCTATTTCATCTTCATTATCTTCACAGTCATCATCTCCATCACATATCCAGCTCTGATGAATACAGCGACCACTTGGGCAAGTGTAGAAATTCCCTTTACAAGTTGCATATGCTGAGGAAGAGAACAGCAAAAAAATAATAATAAAGAATTCCCCATATGCCAAACTTTTCACACTACCTCCCTGGACTATAGACATATGTACATGGAAATAAAACTTGCTGGAGCAAGCTCTGACCACCAAGGTTTGGTGCACAATGCTTCTGCCTTCTTAACTTCTTTCTTTTCTACCAAGCCTGCAAGCAGGAGCATGGACATCTGAACTGGATGAAAGCAGTAGAGCAGAGCAGAGCAGACCAGGAGGGGACCCACAACCACACATTACAAAGGCAGGAGACTGTCTTTAGGAAAGAAGCAGAGGTGCCTTCTATCCCAGCCCCCAAACAAATCTTCCTTCAAAGAATCTACCTCCAAGATCCCCAGTATTTCTAACCTACCGTAAAGCAACAAGGAGGAAGAATTTTTGTCCCATGTTACTGAGCTTAGCTATGTTGACAGAGATATGTCCCATCTAGGGATTTTAGTCACAGGGCATCAATCTTCAGTGTACATGCACACACACACCAGTTTGAAATGGTCCAGGTTTGAGTGAACCTGCTCCACTGCTGGTAAAACTCGCAGGTATGCTGTCCAATATTCTAAATAGTACATTAATTAATCTCAGCCTCTAGGTCAGGTATGGGGAAGCTGTGGCCCTCCAGATGCTGTTGAACTCAAATTCCCATCAGCTCCATCCAGCATGGCCAGTTATCAAGGATGATGGGAGTTGTGGTCCAACAGCAACTGACGAGCCACAAGTTCCCTATCTCTGAGCTGTAAAGTAGTGAAAGAAGCCCAAGTGAAGACTGACGTACTGCAAGAGTTTTCATCGCTCCTGTCTCCACAATCATCATCGTGGTCACAAACAAAGGCTCGGGGGATACATTCTCCATTTCCACACTGAAACTGGGCATTGGAGCATCCACGAGCTGAAAAGGAAGGACAAACACATGAACGTGGCCTAAAAAGAAATGCCAGCATTTTGGTTATTATGATCAAGCACACTAGTTGAATCCTCCATGGTGTGCATATGCAGTACTTACTGCAGTTGGTTTCATCAGAGGCGTCTCTGCAGTCCACATTGCCATCACAGCGTTGGCTTGCATTAAAGCATGCTCCATTGGAACACGATAGCTGATCACACGTTGGGTACTCTGCAAGGGGAAAGATGCTTTACTCTAATGCATCAGAGGAAGCAGTTAGGCTATACATCAGCAACGGTGGCAGATGGACTGCAGCTTCCATCAGCCTCAATCACTACGCCCTATGATCAGAGATCTTTGGAAATTGTGGTCCATCATCATCTAAAGCAGGCATAGGCAACCTTCGTCCCTCCAGATGTATTGGACTACAATTCCCATCATCCCTGACTACTGGTCCTGTTAGCTAGGGATCATGGGAGTTGTAGGCCAAAACATCTGGAGGGCCAAAGGTCGCCTATGCCTAATCTAAAGGGCCATCTATTCCCCTCCCGGCTGTTCATTATGTCACTTAATTTTGTTTTCCTTGTTGCTTTGTGAAACATCCGTCTTCATCCTTCTTTGCCACTGAGCTCTTGAATCATCCACCAGTTTTCCCAAGACTGTAAGAAATCTATGAAGTCCGCTTGGGCATTCTTTACTTCTTCCCCAGAACCAAAACCAACCCAAGACATTTCACTGTCTGTGACGGAGCAGCAAATGGCAACTGAGGCCAAGGTGTATGGTATCCAAGGCCAGTCAAGTTATTCTAACACTTAATGGCAGAAAATCACCAAAGCACTTCTCTTCCTCCCTGGCAGAAGATATAGAACAGCAATACATTAAATAACTAGTGATTTGCTAACTAACAAACAGCAAAATTTCACAATGCTCAAAATCAGCTGCCCGAGGCAGCAACCTCACTCTGCCTAATGGTAGGGCTGGCCCTACCCAGAACAATCCTAGGAAGAGTTTGGGGGAAAGTGCTAGTACACACACTCACTCCTACTTCTCTCAGCACCACAAGGAAATGTGATTGACCAAATGGAAGCTCTCACAGTGTAGGATCTCCTCTCATCAATGAGTTTAAAATTTATTTAAATACAGCTCCCCATGTTCAGATGACTGGGGGAATTCAGATGTTGTCATTCACTTCTTATTTCTGGTTCAAGCTTTGCAAACAAAGGGTACCTGCAACTGCAGAGCTGCAGAACCTCTAGACCTATAACTACAATAGCATTGTTTCCCCTTAATCTTTGCCATAGTTCATTAACTATTACTATTTTAATTCATTTGAAGATTTTTATTTCAGATTTATTTTTAAAGCACAGTTTTCTGTTCCAACGTTTCCTATTGTGTTTCTAAATCATTGTCTAAATGAAGCAACAGTAGTAAAACCTTATGAGCCCAGGGCAGGATAATCATCGGGGACAGCTGGTCATTAGGGGCTAATGGGATTAATCTTGACAATATTGTAACAGCTGCTAGCTGCTCCAGAGACAGTGGCACGTATATGTGGTGTTGTAGACAGTGCCGTTGAAATGCTTCATTAACACATTCTTCGGCCAATCTTCAACTTGGTGTAGCTGAGGGCTCCAGCTACTACAGCATGAAAACCACCGGGAATGCTCAACATGCCCCAAAAGTAGAAAATGCCAGCAGTGATATTCCTTTGCCATTGATGACGCTTGGATTTGTGCCTGGTCCTAGAGACCATCTACAGCAGCAGCAGGAGGAGGAGGAACAAAACACCGACGATTTCAGCAGCATGCACCAGCACACTATGTGTCAGCCATAGTTAATTTGGGCATCAGTTGGCATTCTGATTCACATAGCAAAAATGTGTTGGCCCAACCACAGTTTCCCTACAGTTTAGCAGCACAGCGCAGAAGCAAAATAGTAAGTCATAGTTGGTGCATTAAGATGCTTGTCCATAAAAATGGCAAATTACAGGTGTCAAGAAATCAGGTTAGGGTTGGGTTGTATGGAGGCAGAATGTGTACTTTCCTGAGCTAGTAGGATGCATGTAAGGTAAGTCTGAACAGGACTGTAATAATAGCTGCTACAATCTTCAAAAGACCAGGCGTTTTAGAGTTTCAGAGCTTCAGCTGGGGTGGGGAATAGGGTTGAAGCTTGGTTACATTTTGTTAATAGGAAAGCATGAAAGAAATATGGGATTAAAAATGGCTCCTATAAAACTAAGGGAAACTTTAAGTGTAAGGCAATTAGACCCACGCTAATTTCCGTGCTTTCCTTCTACATTCTTCACAATGGTTTTATCTGAAATGTTCTTGAGAGAGAAGCCAGGATTCTAAATCAGAGCAATGCATTTATGTAAGTGGAGAAAACCATTATTTTTATGAAGCAGAAACACTAATTAAATGGACTGGAGCTGAAACACTGGTCTGATGTTTATCTTAGCCTTTGCATGGGTAGTTTTTTCTTGCTGTTAATCCCATTAGCAGTAAAATGGGCTGTGGCCTTCGATCTGCTTGTTCCATTTTACTTTGCCTGTAACTGCAGAGCATTGGGCATTTGACCAATCTCTTAAATATCATACCTCATTCAGAAACATTGTTTATCTCCTACACAGTTAAACCTCCCTCCAGCAATGCCAATTGCCAAATAGAATAAAGGCTCTTCAAATTCTGCTGGAGAAACCAAATTCTGTATGTCTTCATTTTCAGAGTTGTTTCAACAGCAGCTCGTTGCCTTAAAGCTCTCCTCGTCTTTATTGGGCGACAGTATTTTCATTCATGGGTCCCATTCTTTAATTCTGACTTCAAAGCACTGCTTCACTTCTATTGAACATTATAGCTGAACCCAGTCCACTGGCTTTTGCAAGAGAATTTTATACAGAAGCTAGTCACAGGCAGTCACATGCCTCATGACATTGGGGACATTTTTCTACAGGGATTTTGCAGAAGGGGTGTACGTTGCTCTATTAGTGAACCCTATTAAATGGCCTTGATGCATCAATAAATCTGTGCAGACAGATCTTTCCAGGGCTGAAGATCCTGCCACATGAAAGATTCTTTGAACGGAGTGCGGTAAAAGAGAGCTATGAGGAGCCCATATTGTTTGTCCACATTGTATGCCCTCCAAAACATTAACACACTTTTGCTATTCGCTGCCATTAGGTTTCCCATAATCAGCGCAATGCTCCTATCTTTAAGACCCCACACTAACAGGCACCTCCCTTCTGTTGATTAAGAAGGTTTGTCAACACCAACCCTTTAATTAGTCATAATGACTGTTGCTGAAAGATATGAAGCCTTCCCTCAGTCCAAGGCTGAGTCTACCACTCTGTAACAATCCCAGGATTTATTGGTCCAAGGATTACTAAACGGAGATCAGGCATTAACCCTGGGTCTCCCACACTGCTGTGCGAAACTAATCACCTTAAAGCAATGACAGGCCCACTTAACTGATTTGGCTGGGAGTGGGCTTTAAAATTAAACAGAGTACTTTTGAACTTTTACACTTTAATTTTCGTGCTTCACTGACAAAGTTTAGCAAAAACTACAGAATTCAATTAAATTCACTGACTGAAGCATAGCCAACCCGGTGCCCTTCATATGCTGCTGGACTACAAAGCCACTTCTGACGTCAGGAAGAGGTGGTGTTGCGGGCTTCACGCCACCAACACACGTGCGGGGCTAGCTTCCAGCCCCGCGTGAACAGGGGAATCCTCGGGCAGCGTCATCTCCCGAGCCAGCCAATCGGCTGGCTTGGGGGGGGGGCGTGCCTTGCCTCATTTAAGGCAGGCGTGGCCCCGGGATCTCCCTCTTTGGGTCCCCGCAGCTGGTAAGGTTTTCCCACCCACCTGCCCTTTAGGTTCCCTTTTGACCTTGCTATGGACCTCGGTTGGTCGCCGTTAAGGGGCCTGGTAGGATTTTTTTCCACTTGGCAAATTGGCACCGGCCATTTGGTTTTTCGCGTACCTCGTAGCTAATCGTCACAATTCACTTGGTTTTGGCGGTTAGGTATTGGTAGGGGTATTGTTATGCAGATCTGTTGGGGGGAGGAGCGCCATCACCTCCCCCAAATATTGAAGGGTAGTCCGGTAAAGGATTCCGGGGCGTTGCCTCATCCAAAGCCTATGGAGGTCAGGGCCTAAAGCACGCCCCCGATAGGTGACCCTGGGGGAGTCCCTGGTTGATGTGCATCAGCAGGGCTCCCCCTGCTGGTGTTAACCCTTCCCGGTCTTCAAGCAAGCAGGCTGAAGCCGGACAGTCTGATAGGACCAATGCCTAAGCCAATACCGCTCTTTACCTGTAACCAATAAAGTTGTGGCCTAATTTCGCCCATTAACCTTAAATATCTGTGTCATGTGTCTTTATTTCTGCTGGTGGGAGGCGGGAACTCGCCACGCAACTCCCATCATACCTCACCATAGTCTATGCTGGCTGTTGCTGATGAGAATTGCAGTCCAAAACACCTGGAAGGAACCACAGTGGCCGAATTCTGCTAGATAAATGAACTGTCTCTAAGGCATGTTGATGAGAAATCGTTCTTAGAACTCACGGAAATGGTGAATGGAAATCATTACTGGAGATTCATTATTGACCAGAGGGAAGAAAAACCTTTATCACAGGCCTATGAGAATATCAGGGCAGGAAGCAGAATGTGGTAAGGAAGGCAGTAGAGATTCTGCCCATTCATAATGCATCTTTCAAAAGTTCCACTATTAATAGTTATGTTCCTATAGACTACCTTTGTCTACAGTTTTGGGAAACACAGAGTGGTTTGTCCAAACTAACATCCTTAAGGTTCCACCTTTGGTCTAATGTACGTACGTAAATTGTTTCACAGAAATACGACACACAATATTGTTGTTGTTTGTCATACCCACTCTGGTAGTTAACACTGTTGCGTAGGATAACACGGGGCCATAATGAACAATAGGCAATAAGGCATGGTACTCAGAGCCCATGTTTAATAAGCAAATGATGCAAGCAGATGTCCACGATTACACTGTAATCCCCATAAGCTCTCTGCTGCTCGTTTCTTTTTAGCCTACTCTTGTCATGACTAGCTGGGCTGACCCTCATTTGTCAATCAAAAGGGTGGAAATCATAGATGGTGTGGAAACAATGGGAAAGAAGTTAGTTTGGACACATCCACCCAGAGACTTAATCATTGAGAAAAGAAGAAACAGAAACATGCTTTCAAGTAATCAAGTTTTCCTCTACCAAAGGCACATTAAAAACTATTTTCTCCTATAAAGGCCACACTTGCCAAGATATGAAACTTCTTTCCAGCCCTAGTACTTGGCTCCTTAAACCACTGGCATACTCATAGTCTTTAGCACCGCTGGCATACTCATAGTCTTTGAGATTGTCTGTGGTTCTGTTTCATGGGAAAATTCCAAGCTGGCTTCTCTTGGATGCCATTTATTCCAGTTTGTGTCTGAACCGCTTACCGTTTTGGATACGTTATTGATTTTAGCGAATGAAAGGGATAAAAGGCTGCTGGCTCATCATAAATGC